TGCTCGTTTGGAGAGTCTCGCCGTTGTTTGTTTGCATGGATATTATAATCTTGTTTTAAGACCAAACTTTCATTGCATAATCCATGGATACCTCCTTTGTTTGGGCTAGTTCAGATTAATTTTCCGCTATAACGTATATATTTGAGATTCAGAAATTTGTCATTTAGCCGACGCACCATATCGGAGCGACGGTTTGCCCCGGTTTTTTTAGATTCCTTTGCAGAACTTAACCTGTACCGAAAAATCCATTGCTCCTTCGATCACTGTTTTTCCGAGGAGTTTTCAAATACCTAGCAATCAATGTTACAGCCTTGCTCTTCGTCATGCTTTGTTTTGCTATAAACTTTTCTTGTATCGTCGTACAGTTCTTATGATATGTGTCAAAAATGAATTGTTCGCCATTGCCTACGATCGCATTCGCGGTACCGGAAAAGAGTCATAGAGCATCTAGTTTTCGACTAGTGCACTTGATTTATTGTTATTGTTTTTTTAATGAAAGACTCTACTCGATGCTTTAGATGCGCTGTTTTAACGTCAATTTTTGAAGGATTCATTTCTTCCATGCAATTGTTAAAATTCCTCTTGAATTCACGCAATGATTAAAGTTATTTTGGACGATTAGATGGCTGTAGTACATATGATACAAATCGGGTTAGTGCAGTTGTCCGCATAAGTTGGGAGAACGCGGTAAGTCCACATAAATTCATTTTAATGTTATCAAGTACTCCGTGTTTTTCGCAAATTTTCATGTGCAGCCCCATTCCTCCAACCGCATCGGTTTAAATTCGATAAAATCAATTAAATTCAAAGCAGTGATTAAAATTATTTTGGCCGATTATCACAGACGAGGTGTGATTAACGTTAAATCTTTCCTCATAGGATCTTAGGATCGCAAACGAGGACGAGCTCGTTTTTTGGACACAAGCCCATACTGGAGGGTTTTCATTTCTCAGCTGTGCTCGCGGCAGCAGAGGATTATCGTGATTATCGTTTAGCTCCTGTTGTTTTGTTCTACTTTCCGGAAAATCCTTCAATTTGTACATGAAGACGTTATCGTTACCTTCCTTTCATGTACTTCTCTGTGTTTAGCAAATCGATCCTTGAAATTTCTTCTTTTAGGGGCGGATCCTTTAAACATTATTGACTGATATTCTTTAGCATCATGTTTCCATTTACTGCTATCCACTAGCCTCCAACTTGTTTCATAATTCTTTTGCCTTTTTGTCTGACTTCTTTCCAGGCACCATTTTTCGTTCCGGGGGTTTCTTTCTAGCGCTGAATGGCATGTTTTGTAGTTATTACTCTTTTTATACTCAGGCCTCTTCTACCGTTTTCCGCCTCTGATTTTCTGATGATAATCGAGGGTAAATCTTTCCGCACGGAGTTGTGTTTACAGAAACGAGGATGAGCATCGTATTTTGTACAGCCCGACTCGGGGATTTTCATCTTCACAAGTTGTACTCACGGGAAATGTGGACTTACGTGCGTACTGACCGTTTGTCGCCGCGCTTCAGTTCTTCAGTATGACGAAATCCTTCATTTTGGAGAACTTTCGTTCTGTTTCGGACACTGAGGTACGCGGAATTCTCTTCTGGATTTTCAAAGTATATCTTGGTGTGTTCGTTCTTAAACAATTTATATATTTGTTCCCGACCAGATTTGCTTCTGTTTATCGTTATCTTCTAGCTTCCCAATTGTTTCATAATTCTCTTGCCGTTTGCGTTTATGTCTTTCCAGGAACCATTATTCGTTCCCGGATTTTTTTTCTAGCCCTGGATGGCATATTCTGTAATTATTACTTTTTTTACACTCCAGAGGAATAATGATTTTCTGAGATCTTTTACGACCTCTCTCTTGTATATGTCCCCGAAAACCCATAGAATGCGGATTGGGACCACATTACTGCTTTTAAATTTTTTTTGCTTCAATTGGCATAGCTCGTCGGTTCAAGGCGTGTATTAAAATTTGTAACTCCTTTTGATAATCAAAAAAATAATGAGAAATCATACGATATCTCATCTTTTTACGAATTTCACGTCTTTTTTGGTTATTTTTTTACGTAGCCTTTTTCATAGGCGGTTCTTTAAGCCCCCATCGAACTATTTCATCTCGTGCGTGCTATACAGTACATCGCTGCTCTCTCTTTTCCCACTTACTTCATGATGCTTTCACCTGTCCTTTCGCTCCTAATATGAGAGTTTCCGCCCAATCACCGTGAATTTTTCATATTATTTTTTCAATTTCTTTTTGCTTTTCGTGAGGCAATTGTTATATTTTTTCGTTTCTGAAATTATACTAGAAAGATTTTTTGCAGTCCCAAACTTTCTTGTCGACGGACAGGCATTTTACTACGCGTTTCCCCCGGTGAACCAACTGTCTTGTTTCATGCACTCTTTGTGAAATTTTTGAGCCGGTTTAACTGCGGCACTTGTACACGTGAATTAAGTTTTCTACTTACATTTCTTTCGGAATTTTGTGCCTATAGTGGCGTTTTTGATGTCAAAATGCCGAAATAAATTTTTAAAAACAGGGCGTGATCTCTTAATCTATGCCCTGACAAACATGCCTAATAGCTGATCGCTAGCTTTTTGCTTTCGACGCGTTTCATACGTATTTTGGGTGTAAACGTAGGGCACAAAAGGATATGATCTGCTCAGTTGCTGTGATTTGTATTTTTCAATATCCTTTTTGGTGATTTTCGGGGATCAACACAACGAACCGTGAAATAACTCCGGTTCATCCAATCCTTCCGATTTTGCTCTTATTTTTTACACTTTTCTCGTCAGAACGTCTCTTATTTTTGGTAAATAGGTTGCATCGCCGCCTATTTGATGTTCATCGTCGGAATGGCGTCTAGATCCCAGTTCAACATTGCCATTGAGCACGCTGCCGGACTTCATCATGCTTTTCCCTACCAATTGTCACGGATTTTTGGTTTTAAAGCATTCAAATTGCTCCTGGGACGTTCAATGGTTGCTATTTGCATTTTTCTTCTTGCTACCCGGGTCGAATGACCACAATTTTAGTTCGGATTGTAGTGAAATTCAGAGATTTTTTAAAGGGCAAAGGGCCTAGATCGGGGGATCTGGTTTGGCATCTCTTGCACCCACATGCCTTCATCGAATGTTGAAAACTTCAAATTTTGATGTGACAGTATTTTAATCAGGATAGTTGCTTTGCATCTCGCTTGAGGTCGAATAATTTTATCTTCGACCCTTCATTTTGAAGTTCGGCTTGAATTGATTCCGACTCCTCAGTTCTCAATTGACGTCTTAAACGCCTTACTACTGACGGTTTTTTGATTGATTAAATTTACGCTTGTTTGCGCCTAGCATTTCATTTGAGTACATGATTTCGTGTGGCGTTTTGCCTATCGTTTTCGTTACTAGCACTCAAGCAAATCTTGTGCAAAGGCATTTTGGTGTTTTTTTTTATTGGGAATGAGGCGTACCTAGCGGTTGACTACCAATTCAAAGATATATATATATATATATCAATATATAAAAATTCCATAAATTGGCCCGGATTACATCTCCGTTATTGGCGTTGCTTATCGATTTTGGAAATTTTGGGCAGTTTTGCTGCAAATAGCATACCGGGAGTGGGTGTTACGGGGCGTGTTTCGCAAGATAGAGTAGCCTTACAAGGCCCTTTTCCTCTAGGTCTGCCATGTTGAAACGATTTTTGTAGCGTTTTCAAGACGTGGAGATACACATATATTAGGATCCGAGATAGCTCAGTTTTTTTTACCTTTCAATCTGGGCGCTAGTTTGGCCCAGTACCGGCCGTGTCACGACTTGGGGGGGTTAAAGTATCGTTTTCAAATAGCAGGTTCGGGTGTGTGAATACTAGAGATTATAGGTAGGCCAGTGGCGAACAGTTTGACAAGTTCCGCATACCTTGGTAAGAGCGAGGCTGCGTAAAATGAACATGCAGGATGTCTTCAAGTTGTGGTTCTGCACGTGGCAGCTGGATTCATCAAAATCCAAGGGACCACCTTTTTCGCAGACCTTTTTGGTTTTCTTTCTTTTATTGGCTTCAAATTTCTTCCCATTTTTCTGTGGATGGTCATAAATTTTGTCAGCTCTCTTTTACCGCATCTACTAGGTCTAACATTTGAACTGTTTGTTCCGTGGTAAAAATAAAAGTAGCTCAGGCCGGGACTGGTGCTACGAGCTCAATTATTTTCCTCTTCTCTCACTGCTGCCATTTTGTGTTTGGATTTTTTGTTTGCGTCCATTTTTGTGAATTTTGTTTTGAATTCTTATTTGGTCACCGTTTAGGTGCTTCTCAACGTCGTCACAAGAACTTGAAAAATTCTTCGAACACGGTGGACTTTTTTTCATCTGATGTCATCAAATATTTGATCAGTAACCAATTTTGTGCATTTCTTTCATTTTTTCTTACTCTAACTTTAAAAAACACCACCAATTCCGAGTTTCTCTTGTGGAAACAAACATATTCCGTGTAAACATTTGGCTGTAAATGGAGGTGGCTTAAAGGGAAGTTAGCAAAAAAGGCTCTGGACTTAGCGAAGATCAGGGCAAGGATCACTTTAAAAAGCATCTAATTTGGATACATTGCGGATAACTCGGAAAATCGGATAAAATTTGGGGATTCAATCATTAACGTTTTTAAAAAAACCAATTAAGCTCGGGTACAACGCAGATAGCTCGGTGGATAAGCTAATATCATCAAACCCTAGAGAGGAAGTATTACTAAATTCATGGTATAAAATGGACTTGGAGGAGGTATAATAATGGCTTACAATCAGACTAATATCTGCATGTTATGAGGTTGCGAAAGAACTTTATAATTTAATTGTAGCAAAAAAATTTTATTTAAGAAATTTTTGCGAGCTGGTATAATTTGATAATGCTCAGCTTATCTGAAATTTCTAAGGGAAAGTCACGGCGATGAACCTCTATCCCTCAATTATCTTTTCCTTCCTCCGTGTCGTTACATTTGTTCTATCGGATCCGCAAGCACCAACTGCCTCACAGAGTGCATTTATGCCATAGTCGATGTAGTATTTTAACTTAAAAAAAATATTGATAATTAGGCGTAATAGCGCTAATAAATAAATTTCTCTTTCTGTCCGAACACACAAACACGAATTTGCAAAATGGCTAAAACCGAAGCACTTACTCTCAACTTGCGACATGGCGCTCATAAAGACATCAGGTATTCGTCTGAAGTTCCCAGCCTTCACAACTGTGGTGAGATAATGAAACTTTTTCCTAAACACAGGTTTATATTTCTTTATAATCTTACCTTTCATCGTCATTCTGCAGAAATCTCGACTAAAAAGACGAGCATCTTAGTGCCAATCGCAACGAATCGGCGAATCGTTGGTGAAATCATCCAAGGCGAGGGGAAAGAGCCTAAACAAAAAAATTTAATGAATAGAAAAATTAATTTTCAACAAAAACTTCTGAATCAAAACCCAAGGAGGATTGAGGATCATATATTCTAAAGGAACAAGCCAGTTCTGCTGTGGATTTTTTGGATTTTCCGATATATTGTACAAAATCGATGAAATCACCGAAATTAGGGAAGGAAAACAGAAAATAGATAAATTTTGTTCATAATTTATTAGAATAAGACTGGCAAAACAGCTTATCGGCAAAGTTTCTGGGCCCATTACTTTAATTCAAGCAAATTTCTAGCAATCATTCTCAACCGTTTTCCTCGAATACCTAAAAAATTCCATAAAACAAGATTGTCGATTCTGGATTTAATTTTTTTGCGCTTCTAGTCCTGTTCTCAAACTATACAAGTAAATAAACTACTATCCTTTTACCACTAATACTTCTAGACCCCACTCCACCGCCAGCCTATCGCCCTATTGGTCGGGCGCCAATTCAAATTCTGGTGACTGCAGGGACCACTTACAGTCTTCTAACCAGCAATTTAACGTAATTTGAGTAAAAAATGTTTTTATCATCGCTTATATAAGGTTTAATCGATTCCTAAATTTACTTAGAGCAATACGGCTGATGGTTAAGTGAGAATAAGTATTTTTTGAAATTTGTTGTCGCTGTCCATTAAAAAACGTAAATTCAACGTTTGAAAACCGACAAAATCGGTTTTTTAATGATGATTTGTATTGAGAGGATCGTGCACGAAGGGAATTTTTCGCAATGTCTAAAACGAAAAGCACAAAATAAAATTTATCCATTTTGAGTTTAGACATTATGAAGTTTCTGCGTTCTGAAATTTAGGCATTTTGAAATTTAGACATTCTAATTTGATGCATTCTGCATTTAAGCCTTGTGTTTTTATGCATTGGACCAGCAAATTGAGTACGAAATATACACATTTACAAAATACGTTTAGGGTTAGACATCGGTATGCGCCTATTGACGATAGAAGTGTGCTTTTGCCTTTGCAAAACCAGATTAATGCAGAATTTATTCGCGGACACAGCCGATCATGGCCTTGCTGGTGGCGCAAATTTAACCGGCAGCGGTCGTTGGCACGGTGGAGGTAGAAGCGGTCGTCGGGCCGTCCTTCTTCGTCGACCAGGTTTTCCCGTCGTTGCACCTGAATCATTATGTTTTTTTTCAATCCTTGCAGCACCACTAGAAACTACAGAAAAGGCGTCATGCAAATCAAGCCGGTCTGTGGTCTGTGGATCAGTGCTTCCAATTTTGAGTCGATATCGGGCCCATTTTAGTGCTGAATTTTGCGCTAATTCCGAATCCATGTTCAGAAACTGCTCTATGGGCATTCTGAAGAAATTACCAGGCTCTTTAGCTCGAAAAAATAGCCGAAACGGCACGCTTTGAATGCCTTTAAAAACTGTAGAAAAAAGATCTAGGAAAAACCAAGTGCTTAGGCTTAAAGTTTCGACCTGAAGTTTAATTCACACTAAAAACCGTCTCCTTGTTAGCCAGCTTTTGCCATCTCTGGTTTTCTTAAGGTACCATCACGCCGAGATGCTGATACGACAGATTCTTATATCCACTTACAAGATGACTTGGAAGAACTGAATAGTGCCGGTGTAGTCACCCTCAACGCGCAGGTAGTTTGGCACCATCTCGACGGCCTTCGGGGCCAGCTCGTAGTCGTAGAGTTTCTGACATTTTTAGGCGTCAATTCCAAGATATTATTTCGTAAATACCTTACACGTTTCCTTTTTTCCAATCAAAAATCACTAACCGTAGACCCGTTGACAAACTGGTACATCTGCATGATTAGGCCGGCCTTCTTGTCCTTCCAGGTGTTGGCTTGGAAGCTGGAAAATGAGGAGTTTTCTAGATTCTTCCTGCACATTTTCTTCATTCTGAGATAGGAAACGATGTCACCGTCGATGCATTAATGTCTATTTGCCCCAAAAAGCTCTGCCAGCTCGAGCACCTGAGTTTTCGCTACTTTTTTCGGTCTGAAACACGTCTTCTGCAAAGCTTCCGAACCTACCGTGTCATGATGGAGGCCGCCTTGTCGCCCTTGGTGTACGGTACCGGGGAGGGGAATGTCTTGCTCTTGGAGACCTTCCCCTGAAATTAAAAACTGTAATTTCTGGATACTGCTATCTTGCTACCTTCAAATAGGTCTTGACACTGACGGACGTGGAGCCGCTGGTCAGCTTGGAAACCAGCGGAATGTTGGCTTTATCCGAGATGGCGGCGTCCAGAGTATCCGCGTTGTTCAGCCCATAGAAGGAGAGTCTAAAATCACTTTTTTTGGAGTGATTAAGGGACAGTTTGAGCTAACGAAAATAAAAAACCTACGTTCCAGCGCCGGTCGTGTCCAAAACCGCCTTGATATCCGTGCGACGCACATTCTTCCTCGCGCCACAAGCCACGCCTAGAAAGGGGATCACTTGATTTTCGCACACGAATCGACGGAAACGTCGAGCCTCTTCTGGAGCATCCACAAAAAAATTGTGAAAACTTACGGGAAAACTTGTCAATGTTGTAGACTTGAGAAGCGGCGCTGACCAGGCCGAGAAGTACGGCAAACTAAACGCAATTTTGTTGACATTAAATAATTTTCTTTTGATAGTTTTTGGGCCCGTTTACTCATATTTTGTGAATTCGGTTAGCGGTAAAAGTGCTTTGATCCTAGCATTGATTAAAACATGAGATACTGTAGTCCATTTTCAAAGCCAATTTGTCTTGCGGAAGCTATGTGAAATGTACACCAGCAAAGATTGTTAGGCAACTATCGAAAAATCCTGGGATACTGTAGCGCGGTACCGTACCCAACCCGATCGTAACTGGAAAACCACTCACCGCGATGAATGCCTTGGAGAACATGATTCAGGATTGATGGTGTTCCGTTCGTCCTGCCGCGCTTTTATGGCGAAGAGCAGAACACAATTCCTGGATTTTTAATTGAATCTGCAAAGTGTCGATTGCGCGGTCAATTTTCCATACCCGACATCATCAGCGTGATTTCTAAAAATTTGAAAGCAAATCGTTTAAAAATGTCTGCCGGGCCCGGTCAACGCCAATTTCAGACCGGGTCTCGCACCATCATAGCTCAATCGTCCATCTGCCCCGGTTTTGATGTCCAAAGATCTAGTTTGCAAATCTCACAGGTCAAAGATCTAACATTTTTGATGAGCTTCAAGAAGTCTGCTCGTTAACGCTCAGCTAGCAAAGGTCGTTTCGGCGGGTTCCAAATCGTAACAGCTAAGGGACCGACCTATTTGAATTTTGCCAAGTCTTAAATTCGTACTTCCAGCCATGAACGAACAAATTAGAATATACCAGGGCGTAAAATCCGCTGCGCTACTTTTCAACCCTGGCCCCGTTTAACCCCTTGGGATTCTTCTCTTTGCATAATATGTCTCTCGAACTCCGATGCCAAAAAAAATGATAAATGCGCGAGCTGTCACTTTTTTCCAATTTTTTCTTTCAAACGCCTTTTCTTTCACATTTTTCTTTTTTCCAAACGCCAATTTTTCCCTAGCAAATACAACAATAAATAGTCTGATAAGCGGGCAGTCAGCTCAGAGCTATTACGCACCTAATTATGTATCATACGTACCTTGAAATTTATCCACTCATGAGATATCTAAAAATTAGCAAAATTTGCTTAATCGCTTCGCTCTCCGGGACGCCCCCGGTTTTCTGAAAGAAGCTTCAAAAAGCTTTGACAATTCGGTGTATCATCGGAGCGACTGTTATCGGCCCGCCTCACCATTGTTTTTCATGCGGCTTGATGTGGGAACTGGGGAACAAGATTGCTTGTTGCAACATCAACACAATTTTACAAAATTGAAGAAAATTGTGTGGAAATGTTTAAAAATGGTTTTTAGTGCAACTTAATGTTTAAAAACCTGCTTGTTTGGATCGGCTCGGTTTTTCTCGGTTTCGGTTCGTTTGGAACTAACAGATTATTAAAATGTCACTAGATCGCTTAACATAGATTTTGCGGTTTAATGATCTTTAGATGAAAACTGTGGTTCACGCGATTTCCGTGGTAATGCCGGCCGTGGTATTGATATAAAAGCTACGAATATATAAGAAGGCTTTATTAAACAAAAATATCGTATGAAAGAATTCAATAAGTGGAAATTCAATTGATTAGTGCTAGGTTTCTTATGATTTCGTTTCGTATCTGCTCAGGGGCCACTCTTCCAGGTCTTCCCGTTCTTGCACCTGAAACCCTGTGTATAATTTTTTGACAAATGTTTAGGAACTCTATCCTGCAACCTACACAATGTACTGATAGAAGGTGACGTCGCCCTTGAAGTCGCCATCAACCGCCAGATACATCGGCACCATATCAACGGATCCAGGGCTTAAAGTGTAGTCGTAGAGGATCTAAAAAAATCGTGTGGTCAGACGGCTATAGTTTTCATAGCTCTAGCTGACCGTTTCGCCGTTGTTGATGGATTGGCTCATCACCAAGACGACACCGGACTTATTTTTCCAGGTGTTTGCTTGGAAGCTGAAATCACTTTGCTTTCTCTGATGCGTAAGTCTCCGGTTTGTAAAATTGTTTAGCGAATAGCACCAAGATTCTAGCAAAATTTTAATTAGATTAAGCTAGATCGAATTTTTCGTACCTTGTCAAGATCTTCGCCTCCTTGCCCTTGGTGTACGGCTGGGCGGCGGCGGTGAGCTTCTGCCAACTGCTGGGCCGGCCCTGGAAAGCGATTCCAACCCTGTATCACCGAAACGGCTTCGTTTCCAAAAACCCGGCACCTTGAAATAGCTCATCAGCGAGACTGTCTTCGAGTTGCTGTTCAGCGTCGCGACAAGTGGAATATTTGCCTTGGCGGCGATCGCGGCCTGCAGCTGCTGTTTGTTGTTTAGGCCGTAGAATTTCACGCTAAATTCAGAGCGCTAGAAATGTTCTAAAGGGCCTACTTATTCGCACCGGTGCTATCAAAAACGGCCCGAATGTCGGTGCGCTGTACGTTCGGCCGGCCGCCACATGCTTTGGCTAAAATATCCATTAAAGGGCACGTTCAGGGACGTTTTTTGAAAAAAGGAAAAGATTTCTGCCGCGGCCGGGGGTCGAACCCGGGCCCCCCGCTCGGGAGGCGCGGATGTATACCAGTCAGCCATAGCTACAACCTGGCGAGGGGTGAGGGGCGCCCCACGCCGCAAAGGAGGGGAATTGCCTGCCACGACACAGGCAGGCAGTGCACGCGGTCCCTACGTCCATAGGGTGTACACGTTCGGACGAGTACACGGCCCCTCCCTGAACGTGCGCTTTAACGTAATTTAAGGTTATTACTTTAGTGTATTTTGTATTTTTTTGTGAATATACTCACCTGCTCCTTTGTTAATGTTGAATACGGCGTAGTTAGCGCTGATAATGCCGATGAGGGAACACTGGAAATCGGAAGTTTAGCGGATTTTTGAGAACGAGCATCAGCGTAGTAGATGAGGACTTGAGCTACCGTAGCACCTTTCGGTAACGATATTTTTCCGGATGCAGAAAAGGTGATTACCCACCCAAATGACGGCCGATTGGTAGAAGAACATTTTTTCGGCACTCGATGGTTTTCGAACCGATCTTCTACCTTTATAGGCGTGCCCCGAAACCAATTTCATGTTTTTCTTTGTCAATTTCCGGAGCGTATTTTATTCGAATTCTATAGGATTCCTTTTAGCGAGCTACAGCGTGATTTTGCAATCTCGCGTGCTCTTAAATTTTCTTTAGATGTGAGCCGTTGATGTCGGTTTCGGAGTGCGGAAAAAAATCGTATAGAAACGCTGTAATTAGTTCGTCGGCTTTATTTTCTGATATCGCTATTTCCGGACAAAGTTTTGGGTTTTTTAGGTTTGAACGCTGAAAGGCGGCATCAGTTTTTGCGTGCGTGAGGCATACAAGCTGTGCTTTTCGCCACCCACGTATTAAAATGGCCAATTCGATCCGAATTTTGGAAGTGACAACTTCCGGTCCAGGCTTCTGCTAGCTGGAAGCACGCATCAACAAGTCAACGAGCGTTCATAACGTCTGTAAGAAGCTCAATTAAGCGCTGTCCCGAAGTTTTCGCATAAAGCCAGGAAATAAAATGCAATGAATAAGATGAACCCGCCCTGAAATCTCAGAAAATAGCGGTATGAGGCGTTTTTCCGAGGTGCTAAAATGTAGGTGTAGTGGATTTTTTGGGGGAAGGGGATCTTAGGGGATTTCTGCGAACTAAAGTTCTGCATATCGAAATATCTGGGATACTGGCTTTTGCCTAATAAGTTTTTGGTGTAAAGCGAGTAAATCGTGGTGTTTTTCCTAACATCTTGAAACCTTTGTGATTTTTCTTGCAAGCTTTCGCCGCCTTTCCGATAAGATACATTCCCGAGACGTATTCTCTTTGGTTGATTAGGCCAAATTCGCTTCGCGAAAATGTAAAAAAAACGTTGACTGGAACTTGACTTTTCGAAAATGTAGAAAACTCTGACTTTTCGGCTAGAATCGGGTTTGCAAGTGAGAGTACCAATTTTCCGTAGAAAACAGGTTTTTAGCCTATTTTGTAGGATATTTGTGGGTTAGATAGTGCAGAGCAGAACAAATTGACTGCAAAATTTATTGGCGCATATCGCGAGCAATGAGAAACACAACTGGCATTGCTTAGGCGGCGGCGGTGGTGGGGGTGGTGGCGGTGGTGGCTGAGGAGGTGGGGGCGGTCGACTTGGCCGTGGTCTTGGGGGCGTCTTCCTTGGTGGTCCAGGTGGTTCCGTCGTTGCACCTAGGAAAACATGTTATGCGCATCATAATCATCCAGTTTTTCGCTCTACCACCACCTACAGAATAGCCTGGTAGAAGGTCACGTCTCCCGTGAAGTCACCATCGACAGCCAGGTACATCGGGACCATCTGGACGGCGTTGGGGGCAAGCTCGTAGTCGTAGAGGAGCTAGAAACGGAGGTATAAGTAAGCTAGAGATTTGGAGCTTGATAATTTTCAGGCTAGAATTCTTACAGTAGCGCCGTTGCTGATGTACTGGCTCATCTGGAGGATCAGACCGTTTGAGCTCTTCCAGCTGTTGGCGATGAAGCTGCAATGGAACAGTTTTTGACATTAAAATCCCAGGATTACCGGGTCATAATGGCGGCATCGTCTCCCTTGCTGTACGGGAAGCCGTTGGCGGTGATCGACTTGGTGGCGGTGGCCTTGCCCTAGAAAAAAGAGCTCGTGAAGGAGTATGAGCGAGAAAGTGAGAGGGAGAGAGAGAAAGAGTGAGAGAGCCAGCGAGAGAGACAGCGACAGAGAGAGACACAGAGAGAGAGTGAGAGAGATAAAGAGAGCTAGACAAGCCGGGATTCTTAGATACCTTGAGGTAGCTCTTAACAGACACTTTCTTCGACATGCTAGTCAGCGTGGCGTGGAGCGGGATGTTGGCGTCGTCGGCGATGGCGTCAGCAAGCTTCGGCGCGTTGTTCAGGCCGTAGAATTTAACGCTGTAATGGGTTATGACAATTTTAATTAAGATTTCGCTGCTACTATTAGGTAATTGCGAAACTTACGCATTGGCGCCGGTCGAGTCAAAAACGGCGCGGATGTCGGTGCGACGCACGTTCTTGCGAGCCCCGCAGGCCTCGGCTGAAATTTGAGCTCGTACTCCGGTCACTAATTATAAGGAAAGTCACAAATATTATAGTTTATCAAAAAGTTAAAAATCAAGTATACTTACTGGCCCACTTGTTGATGTTGTAGACGGCGTAGTTGGCGCTGACTACGCCGAGCAAGGCAGCCTAAGTTTATTTTTGCAAGTTCGAAGGGTTTGTTTCAGGTTTCAGTTGCGACGTCAGGCTTAGGCATAAGCATAGGCTTAGGCTGGGCTTAGGCTTAGGCTTAGGCGTAAGCTTTGGCTTAGCATTAAGCAGAAGTCAGGGCCAAGCTTGATTAAGCGCAGGCTTGAGCTTAGGATCAGCAACGTCAGGACCAAGCTTGATTAGTCTGAGTCTTGAGCTTAGGAAAAACAGAAATCAGGCCAGAAGCTCGCTTAAGCTTCAGTTAAGTTGAGAATCCGAAGCACTCACCAAGGCGACTGTTGTTGAAGAGAACATCTTCGACAGTTGATGATTTGCCCCGCCGAACCCGCGCTTTTATACTCAGAATCAGAACCCATTTTTTGGGATCTGGCGTGAATATCGGGGTATCCCATTACGTGGTCAATGCCCCAGAACCGTTTCGCAAACACCATCATCTCGACGTTTTGTAAAGAAACCGTTTAGAGGCCGTTTTTCGCTTGTTGGTTAGACGGCAATTTCCAGGTCCCCACCCTATTTGAATTGATCCTTTGCTTCGTGTTTGCGCCCGGGACGAAAAGCTAGAATGCACTCAAAGTGCGATTCGAAGATGAGCGATTAAAATGATTAAAATCTTAAAGTTCAGTCATAGATTCCACCGTAAAATTTTCCAAAACCAAGTTTTCGAAACGCGAGGTGCTGCTTTCAGTGAGGTTTCAGAATTTTTTCGATAGTTCATAGCGCACTTTCGAAAATCAGCGATTAAAATGTTAAGGGGATCCTAAATTCCAGTCATAGTTCCTACAGTAAAATTTTCAAAAAACCGGTTTTCGAAAATCCATTTTACTGCTTCCAGGAAAATTATGGAATTTGACGAGATTTTTATATTTTCTGGATTTTCGGGATTTTTTTAGAAAATCTGATTTTCGAAAACGAAGTGAGATGAGTCAACGTTGGTGCAGCTTTCACGTTTTTAAGATTTCGCTTTTCTCTCCATCCATTTTCCAACCTATTTTGCATTTGTGTTTTGATGTGGCGCTTTCGAGACTGTCGCCATATTGCTCTTCGAAAATGGAACTGTGTGGCGCCCTATTGAATTCAATTTCAACACGTCTGTTCGCAACCCAAATTGGGTTTTTTATCTGCCCCAGCGATGATCACAATGTGTGTGTTGGTTCTGATGCACCGCATCTTCAAAAAAACCCAGAATTCTGACAAATTGTTTGCAAACAGACAATCAAATTTAAGGAAAATTATATATTAGGTGAATCGTGGCATTCGTTCGTAAGCGCCTTCCGCGGCGTGGTGATACCCTAAAACTCAAAGTTAGGCTAGAATTGTCAAATAAAGTGCTGAGTATTTGTAGTTAAAATATTGGAAACTAAAAGGTGTGTCAATAAAAACAAATCGCCTCTAACTTGACGCAGAGGGATTGGATCGATCGGAATGATGGTTACACCATTCGAAGGCTCTTTAAACGGCGAGTTTAAAATAATCTTCAAAATCATGTTTTTATTTAAACGCGCCATTTTGTGATGCATTTAAACATCCAGAAACGTTCTCTGCATCTGATTAACGTCAACCTCCGGCCATTTTGCTTAGGTAAATTGAGACAAATCAGCTTTATGCAATCCCGAAAAACCGCAATATTTTACAAAAATGCTTGTTAGAAAGTGGATTTAAATAAACAACAAGCTTTTGACGACGGCTGCAAAATCGCATTTCAAGAGCGTTCGAATGGCCTAACCACCATTCCGATCCGATATTCTCCGTCAAGTTATTGGGGTGTTTTTATTGGGGTATCCCGTCGATCGCCGGATCTCCAAAAGCACCATTGCAACAAGCAAACTAGCTTTCTCGCCTACCTGCAAAGTTTTCAGTATTTCAGAAAAATTCGGCCGCTCACGCCAGTCGTATTCAAAGCAAGGCTTCACCACCTACAGATACAGAATACTCGCGTCTGAGCATCGAGAGTGGTACCTTGTTATACAGCGCCACCGAACAGTCGGCAGGTCTTTTGAGGCGCTGTCCAGAGTCGAGGAACTTTATCATCCCCTCATGTGTGCCATACTTGGCAAGAAATTTTCGCGTAAAGAATCGGTCACCACGGTGCATCTCGATGATGACGACACCAAAGGACCAGACGTCAAAATTTTCGGTGATTAGGTGGTGCTTTAGTGCCTGTAAACAGGGTATGGCTCGGCGAGAAAAAGTCGTGAAATGTCCCCCGGGCATGCTAGGCGCTGCTTAAAAAGAGACCTCCGGTGGGCACCATAACGTCCGGAACCCGAACTCGTGTATCAACTGTATTGTGTATGGCAACGAGTCCTGGTCTCGCAGCTCGGCTATGTCCAAGGCAAAATGGAATGACGAGATCTGGAAAAAATAGTAGGGTTCAAAAGACACAGACACTAGGATACCTTGACCAATGGTCCGCCCGGCGTCTCACGGATTAATATATTTTCACATGCCAAATTCAGGTGTATCTTCCTTTTCACCATCTGCAAATATTCCATCCCGGTGGCTATCTAGAATTTTCAGTTTTGACCATCAATTGTGTCAAAAGCCGAAAAGGACATCCAGGAACAGCGCTAACCTGTACAATAAAATCTTCCAGAAACCCAGTCTTCACCTCCGCAGGCTGTGATCGTATTTTTGTGTCAATGTATTGTGGCAACTTGCACCCTTTAGGTAAGCATTCCATGAACAGCCAAGCTGGCGACTGGGCCGTTGACGCCTAGATGACTTTCGGGTTTCTGGAGAAATTAGCTTACACCGAAAAACGCGATTATGTTGGGGTGGCGAAGCTGCTTCAAAGTGGCAACCTCTCTGAAAAATAGCTATTTTCTGCATGAGCTTACTAGTTTCAGCCAATTCTGAGTGGTAGCAAATCCCGAAAACGAGATGATGCTTTGATCGTCTGATCATCATCAGCATGGTCGTTTGGATCTGTGTGTAAAGTTAGTTACCTCCGATCAGCTCCCTCATCGGCCATCGATTCTTCATTTAGGGAAATTTTTAGCATCACTGGCAAACGATTCCATTGTGAAGGTTGGAGCTACAAAAGTTTCAGGAAATTTTACGCTATATTTCTGATATTTTGTGTATAGGGGCATCTATTTCATAGGCTTACCACTGAAAACATTGTAGCAAATGAACGAGAGGTTGGCAGCGTTTCTTCCGCGTCAAACTCCCAGTAGCCGCGTCTAGAAACTTTTGTTCTGGGAATTTGTTGAAAGCTCGAAATCTCAGAATCTCAGTTTTTCATAATCTCGAATTCTCTTAACCTCGAATTTTCAGAATCACGAAAATTCCATTGTCTGAATCGACCTGAAGCGCTCCGGGAATTGCCCGCCCACCTCCTGCTTTTGATCTATGCATTTTTCGAGATTCTGAAAATTCGTGTTTATGAAAATCCGAGACTCTGAAAATTCGTGACTATGAAAATCCGAAATTCTGAAACTTCGGGATTCTGATAGATAATTTCAAGTATTTTTCGCTCACGGCAGTTCAGCGACAGACTGGAACGCAAGGCTCCAATTGCCGGTACATTGGCGATCCATGATGTCCTAGAATCGGTTGATAAAGAATTTCCAAAGCGAATTCACCTCAAAGATCCTCAAGATTTGGCTAAAACTTGGTCGCAGATTCCAGCGCGTCCTGAAACATGGCATGACGACCTAGAAATGCGCCAGTATCATCCGGAAAATTTTGCGATGACCTGCCTGTTCCCAAACAGCTCCCAGACACTCCTCTGGCCGAGCCAACCTTTTGCCGGTAGCCAGGAAATGCGAAAGCGCCACGGCACCGGGGACTAAAACCGGTTCGCTTGCTCATTACAGAATTTCAAAAATTTCTACAATACCTTTTCCAAACTCTTTTCGATACGGGTGTTCACCTCTCGAGTACAACTCGAAAATCACCACTGCAAACGACCAGCTGTCGGAGCTTTGGCTGAATTTGAACGAGTGAAGCACCTAGGGCACTTCTCGGTCATCAAATTTCTTTTGACGAATGCTAACCTCCGGCGGACTCCAGCAAACCGGAAACTCGTTGCTGTAGTAATATTTCTCTGGTAGGTTACGCGCTAGTCCGAGGTCTGCAACCTAAAACACTGTACCATTGAAATCTACGGTGTTTTCCAAATGTGCGATTTCTAAACTGGCGTACCTTTGCCACAATTCTGTCGTTGGCATCTCTGGTCAACAATATGTTACGCGCGGCTAAGTCTCTATGTATCTTCCCGCGTTTCTGCAGGTATTCCATACCCAACGCTACCTGGAAGAGTGACGTTAAAAAGAATAATCTGGATTTTCCTATTTGATTCTTCCGCTAAATTACATACCTGAATCAAAATTTCCAATCCGCTTGTCAGCACGTCTTCGGCTGTAATGTTGGTGTTACTCCCAGCAAGGCAGTCCAGTAATGAACCACCAGACACATATTCCGTGATGATGTACTGTGGTGATTCTCGAGTGCATACCTTTTACAAAAGTGGCTGCTCCGGAAAAAAAACGTTTTCTTACCCCAAGCAGCTTCAAAACATGTGGATGGTCCAACTCATTCAGCTCCAGGAATTCTCTGCAAAATGTTTGTAATGGCTGAAAATCGAGATTTTTAACCCTTCAATTTTTCTAACCAAAAAGGTTAGAAAAATTGAAGGGTTAAAAATCAGAATTATCGATACCTTTCAAAAGCGTCTTGCGTCTTCGCATCATCCATTCCCCATTTCGAGTGCAAAATCTTTACGGCAACCCCCAATTGGCCCCACTTTGCGAAATGAACCTAGAAAAGTCGTTTCTAATGAATCCGAAAACCCACACTGCCAAAAAACCCGTGCCCCAGCTTTCGATAGAAGATAATTTGCCGACGATCGATTTCCCAGGTGTCGGCGCTAAAATTTCGTTTGTAAAGGCTCAGCCAAACAAGCGATACTTACTTTTCGATCTTATCAATCAACTTCCCGCGTCTGGGCGGATATTTCTTCAAGCGATGCTGGTTGTGCAGGACGTTACCTAAAATTTGTTGCAAATCCGATTCGCTTTTGCGCTACGACGCACTACTCCCTCCCCCGGTCCTCTATGCGCCCCTCCCTTCCCCGACAGAGCCCGTTCGATTTCTCTCTTCCTCACTGCTCCTCTCCTTGTCATCTTCGGCCGTTTGCCGTTTTATAATAAACCGTATGGCTCTCTTCTTATGCATGGTATTCAGGTGTCTAGCGGTCAGTGTGCGAGGCGTTCCCTTAGCAGTTAGTAGCACTCTCCAGCATTCAACTGACGACAACCGCGATTACAACAAGATTACACGGTAATCACTACCGTTCTGATAATTCCGCACCAGCGCCTCGATCGAGCGGAACCTTGCAGCGTTATCAATGTAGAGCTCGTCCTCAATCTCTGAGATCGGGAAACTTTGGACGGTGTCCGGGTCTGTTCTAAAAATCACCTAGCTTAAATTACGATACCCGAAAACTCACTTGACGTCCAACACAAGCCCATCTTGAGCACTTGTCCGTACCAGGAACAAGTCTTTCGGAGTGGGGTTGCCAATCTAAATTTCAGATCGTGAAGAAGAACTCTTGTCACACCAAAAGATGCGAAGCGGACTCGCTGCTGATATCCGTGTAGAACCATCTAAACATCCAAGGGATCATTTTCTATTTTTTTTGCGTATTTTTGTGTCCAGAGCACTTTTTTTCGTTGTCCCACGCGTCCCCGATTCCCAACTGTGCTTACGGCATGTGAGCAAAGCAAACAACTCACGGCTCCTGATACGTATGGGACAGCGGCGCTATCAGCTCGCGACGCACACATCCGGTGGCCTTACTACGCGCATGCACGGCCCAGCATAAGCGGTGTGACCTGAAAATTTTTAAATGATTGCCAAAATAGAATTAAAAAAAGACGTGAACCGGATAAATCTTAAGTTCCTGGTCTACATAACATGACAATTGTGTTCCATTTTTACCCACATTCCGCCGTAAACCAGCAGCCGGTCGCCACGCCGGAAGCGCAGAAAATCGAGGCAATGATCATGGGGGGAATCGTAAAGAGCTTGCACTTCTAAAAGGTACTTCGTGGTTTTTAATCTTATAGCATCCAGTTAACAAATTTTCAAGCTGACGAATGGGACTTGCGAAGTTAAAAAAATCACCCAAGTAATACCTATGAGATCGTTATCATTCTTCACTTCTGCAGGCGGCTTCTTGGGTTTCCTGGTAAAAAGGTCAAGCATAGGCGTCAAAAATCAGTAGGCTGCTGTTGTGGCTTTAGAAGGTCAATACGCAATCCCAGATGAGCTGGCCGCAGCGCTATCAATTTTTGCTTTTTTTTACTGCGGCAAGACGGCAGCGCCCCGTCGACCACACCGCTAATCTATGTGGGCTTGTAATGCAAAAAAGGATGTGCCAAGGTTTTTCACGTGACATTTTCCAAAATCATATTACCGAAAATCACTTTATCGATATTCATATTTTCGAAACTCTGAATTTTGATCAATTTGCGTCCAGTACAATAGGATATGGCGGCAAAGGATCCGAAATAGCTATACAATTTTTGGAAAATTTTTGGAAATTTTTTTCGATTTTTTTTAGTGATTTAAATTAACAGTCAAAATGGCAATTAATATTTTGAGAAAAACGTCTGCGCCGGTATGGCATATAGGGAATCTTGAATACCCCATTGGCGATCGTTCATTCAGAGAAGCTCTTTCATAAACACACTTACTAGGGAATGTTTTGGGGCGGACATCGGACCCAGCTATGTGAGTATGTGCATCTTGTAGAGCTCGACGAGACGAATCGTTTGATGTAACTTTTAGCTGCGGATACCTTTTTTTAATAAAGTTACAGCGGTTTAAAGTTTTTCGCCATACCTTCATAAGCCCTCCCCACACCCCAACCGCCGTGCTCTGGTAGTCTGGTGGGTTAGTGGTCGGCGTCCGGGGATGGTGACGAAGGTACGGATCCGCTCACGATTTTTATTTTTTGCTTTTTGGTCGAAAGCTTCCATTTTGCATCCCGAAGGACTACATTAACTTTTTTTTTCATTTTACGAATCATATCCCCCATTAAATAAACATAAGCGAAACACAGGATTTTGCGAGCTATAGTCATGGCTTGGTCATGGTCAGATCTTGATGTGGGTGAAACTCCAAAACACCAATGAATACTGTCACCAACTTCCTTGGGGGTGGGTGCTGGAGATCAAAAATGAAAAAAAAAAGTTAATGTAGTCCTTCGGGATGCAAAATGGAAGCTTTCGACCAAAAAGCAAAAAATAAAAATCGTGAGCGGATCCGTACCTTCGTCACCATCCCCGGACGCCGACCACTAACCCACTAGACTACCAGAGCACGGCGGTTGGGGTGTGGGGAGGGCTTATGAAGGTATGGCGAAAAACTTTAAACCGCTGTAACTTTATTAAAAAAAGGTATCCGCAGCTAAAAGTTACATCAAACGATTCGTCTCGTCGAGCTCTACAAGATGCACATACTCACATAGCTGGGTCCGATGTCCGCCCCAAAACATTCCCTAGTTAGGCGTGTGGCCCAGGTCGGTGGAGCACCGTGTTACTCTTGTTCATGTTACTTGTATTATACTATAGTGTTACCAGATGGTTACAGTCGCTTCGCGACTGCAACCATCTGGCCTTCGGGCTACCCTACATGTCCCACTCCACCACATCCTTTCCCACCTCCATCAATACCCCCCATAGCGGAAATCCCCTTCAAAAACTATCTAAATACCTTCCCGATGGCTTCAGATACCCCCCATGGCTGAAATCCCCTTCAAAAACTACCTAAGTACCTTCCCGATGGCTTCAGATACCCCCCATGGCTGAAATCCCCTTCAAAAACTACCTAAATACCTTCCCGATGGCTTCAGATACCCCCCATGGCTGAAATCTCCTTCAAAAACTACCTAAATACCTTCCTAGATACTTTCAATAATTTAAATAATTAATTAACATAATTAAAAAGTATTAAAAGTATATTAAAAAGTATTAAAGTAACTTAAAGAGATGAGGACGGCATCTGTTGAAGGTGAGGGGGGTTCAACAGATGCAGCGGCGAGAGAGGGCGCCCCAGGGAGAGGCGCAGAGACATTTTCTTTTCCGCGCGTAATCGATTGACTTATGCCGCCCCTATCCCTTTAAGAAAGCGATCTGGGCGCGCAAAGGGGCCTGGCGAAGAGGGGCGAGGGGAAAGGGGGCGTGGCCTCCCGGGAGAGGGGCCCCCCACTCGTTTTATTAAGGCACCACTTTCAAAGTTAATTTTAATAATTTAAACTAAAAGTTTTTCATAATTTTTTATTAGTTTGGGGGTTTCTGACCACGCTCTATCCGAATCCGAAGAGAGCTAAGCTCTAGCTCCTTTCCCCTTCGAGTTGAATTCGGCTTCACACAGACGGACAGACGGACGGACGCGTCAAGAAAATTATTATAGTTTATATTTAGTTTATGCTTGTCTTAATTAGGGATTGTTCCTAATAGTTTATTTCACAATGATACACAGAAAGATGAGACGCAACTGGAGAGCTAACCAAGGGGACAACCGGCTCGTGGCGGGCTTTCATAGAATTGAATGAACTGAATGGATAAAAGAGATAGAGCAGAGCACTTATATCGGCGGAATAAACGGGAAATTGTGAGGTGCAACATGGCGTCTTTTTATCGTATGTTGTCATATAATATTAGACTCTGGACGTGTAATCATTTATTTGGTGAATTAGACAAGAAGTGATTGCAAAGTATGCCCGTGTAGGCACAATCCCTACTAGGCAAAAAGGGGCAGTGGCAGAATGTGGAATTTTTCAAACATTAACCATATGAAGAAGGGAAAGAGGCAAAAACGCCATAGACGGAAAAAATAAGCTGGAACGCATGAGGTTATTTTTGGGTTGCTGCAAGTATGTGGGTGGGCGCGCAAGGAGATACCTAAATTTTAATGCTGTGAAAGCAGCCCTTTTTGGGGTGAAGAACCTCGGACAAAGTACGGAGTAGTGGCGAAGAACCGTAGTGACAACCTGAGCGGCCAACAATACTCCCACATCACACAATGGGGAACAAATAAATTCATTAAAAATCGAATTGAGCAAAATGGGGCGTCAGAGTTACGATAGCAACGGCAACGCAGGGTATCCTAGAAACCACAGCATCGTACTCTATTATTGGTCTGACGTAGACGATATTGATCTGCTTGTTCATATCCAAAATTCTAATATAGAAAATACGCGCGAGAGGTAGGTAAAATAGTTGGGTATCGAAAGATCACAAATCACTAAGAAGATTTGCGGGTGAAGCTTGGGTGAAATTCTGCAGCCAGCGAGGAATTGAGAAAGTGTAAGAAACCAGGTTAAAAAAGAAAGCGCTGTACACGAACAGCATGTTGAGATTACAGCAACAAATCAACTATTCAAAATTCTTCACTCCCAAATTTAGAGACTAGGGATTTTTCGGATTTCGTTCTTGCCGGTCGTAGATTGACGAAAACCTCACAGGGACGGCAGAGAAGTCAACTCGCCTCGTATGGTCGTGAAAATTTCTCAGGAGATGTCTATGCATCTAAAAAATTGCATTATCATCATATATCACTTCATTAAAACGATATAACAATCCCTATAAAATTTGGTCTTACTCACCAATTTTAACTTTTCAATTTTCTCCATTCAACTATGTGAGCTGGAGGTACAGATCGGCCATTGCAGTAACCGAGACCAGTGGCAAAATCACACAAGCGGAGGCCAAGTGCCTAAAACCGGTTCTGGGTTTAAACTGTCATTTTAAGCCAGAAAATGGAAGGTTTTGGAAAGGAATAATTTGATGCCAGAAGTCAGAGAAAATAATGGAAAAAAAACCAGAAATTTCTCGACGTCCATCTTGCCAAATTAATATCGTTCGGAATCTGGCTTTTCAGCTTTTCACATTACTAAAAAAAAACAAAAAATTATATAGCCAAGCGATTCGATCGATTAGCTAAAAAGCCGGTGGCTGGGGACCGGTGCCCGGCCGACCTTTCGGCAGCGGGCAGCTAGAGTGTCCTGACTCATCTCAATGTGGGTGAATGTTCTTCAGAAAAGCTTCTGCTAAATGCAATAGACTTCTAAGTTCACTGAATTTGTATGCAGCTAATATCTACTATATATAAATTTCTAATGCCCGTCTGTCCGCCTGACCGGGAATTCAGCCAAAATTTTGCATTCAAATTAAAAATTCAAATTTTTTGGAGGGGAGAGGGCCAGCGCTGAACCCTCGCGTAGCGGGAGGTCAGCGTTGGTACATTTTAGATTAACTTTAATGTAGGTTTTTTATAACTTTTTCATCTTCGTGTCCAACCAGCTTCACCTTGGGTGGTTATACAGGGTGGTTAAACAGTAGTCAATAAAAAGCACCCAGAGAAGGGTTCGATCGGAACAGTCGCTACACCATTCGAAAACTCTTGAAAGGCGTGTTTGCAATAATCTTCAAAACCATCGTGAGCACGCTGGCGTTGTTTTTGGAATCCTAAAACGCCACAGGAAAAGCTGATTTTTCAGTGGTTTTTTAAATTGCAAGTGTCAACGATTGAACCAAAATTTTCGCCAGATTTTGATGTTTGCATCGGATTCCCCGCTACATAATTGACCTAGATCGAGATAGGGCAGCTCTCGAGCTGATAAATTTTTTACCAACTGTAAGAGCTGCGTTCTGCAAAAGCCAGAATTTTTCGAGTCAGATTCAAAAAAATTATGTTTCCTTAAATACTTGGCGATTCCCGCAACGAGATCCAATTTTTGCGGCACCTTTTGGCGCTAATCTTTCAGTTTTTGACAAGATTCGGTCCCCGCCCACTCGAATCTCGACTTACGAGTCCCTTTAAGGAACGCAACCTCCATGTTTTTTTCATCAACCAATGAACGACTGTGATGTCTTGTATATTGTGCAGGTCCATATTCAGAAAAAGTTTTATCAAAGCACTCGATTGATTGCAGCTGATTTTGATGATCAGGCGAATGGATCAGCACGGTGAAACCTGGAAAGAAAATAATTGATTGGTGCATAAAAATCGAAAGGTTGAGTACGCGTGAAAGCATACCTCCCATAAAACAAACGACCCGACATGGTTGTATCAGTGGAAGGAAGTCGTCAATTTGCTGAGAGTAATGGCCCAGCTACGGTCCAGATGTTTCCTGCCGAGCCTTTCCGCGCCGTAACATGTATTCCGCGATGTGGGTCGGCCAGGTATTCTTCCAAATTTTTTGAAGTATGCCAATCCTCCGGTTTTGCCAACCAAAACTCCTCTCCACTTATTTTCGTTTAGCGGCCGGTTTTGACGTCATTTCTTTATGGTTTCTGTTTTAACGAAACCATCCAGGACTCCCATCGATCGCCGCATCATCTTTGAAGTCCGGCCACAGGTCTTCAAAGAAATTTGTTCACCAGGATTTTTGCAGCAGCGTAATCGATCACCCTATCCGGCAGTGGCAGGGCTAGTAGTAGAATTTTCAGCTTACGGAAGTTCAAATATTTCTAGCTTCAAGGTGGATAGTGTATCAAATTTCTTTCTTTTTCCTTTCGTTTTCAAATTTCTTTTATCAAATTTCGAAACTTTTCCGCGATGCAATTTCTTCTCGCTTGGTGAGACACTCGTTCCCGCAGTCGTAGTAGTAGTAGAATAGATCCATGTTCCTAAATCATGTTCCACTGGTTGTCTTTTTCGCCTACCTTTTTCTTTCCAACCATTTAAAAGAACTCTGTCAGTGCCCATTGCAGGACGCGGAAGGTTCGCTGAAAATATTTTATATTAGTAGAATTTATGCCGCATCATCTTTCGTTTTTAAAGCAAGACTCGGAGTCCGATAGGGAAATACCTGCTAAGTTTGCAAAAATTTCCTCGGAATCTCATTTTTTTGAAGAATCATTAATTCTTGACAAGCTGATGAAGATTGCATGCTTTTTCTCGGAAAGCACAAGCATTGGTGAAATCGCCGCAAGTTGAGGAGCAAGCTGACAACATTCATTGTATCTTTTTTTTTGCCAACTACGAAGACATTTATTTGGAGCATGGTGGAAAAGCCGTTCCTAAAAAAAACAAGAAAAGAAAGAGTGAGACTGGTTATATGCTCAACTTTTTATCGGGATTAGAAACTGGATGGGATACGCACTGTTTGAAAATTCACCGAATCAAAAAATCGAAATTGCCAAGTATTTAATTACCACCTTAGCAAGGAATCGGCTGATAATTGAAAAACAATGAACCACGGCATCTCAGGGGCCGCAAATACGACATGTAATTCAAGGGCTCTTTTCGAGCAAAAATACTAAGGGGAAAATCTTTGATGGCTTATAACTTTTTATTTAGATTCTAACTTCAAAAAGTGGATTTCCAGAGTTGTATCAGGTTGGAACGAAAGTTCTGTCGCCGAGATTTTGGGAGGCTGGCTAAATTCGTAGATAGCTCCATTTTGCACATGCGATACGTCATTTTGTAGCTCTCGGCCTGAACGGTTTTGGGAGGAGGGTCCTGGGGCCTCAAAATCAAGAACGGCCGAGATACAGGCCCAAGAAGTTTTTTCAAAAATTACGCAAAAGTGTTTTTGCAAGTTATCTCTGCATATAGCCATTTGCATACGATACCTTTAACACCAATCGATAGCTCTCGAGGAGTAGATATCGATAGATGTCGAGATCATCAAAATTGGACACTGGATGGTCGAGATATGGTCCCTTGAAGTTTAGCCCATTTCTTAGAACTTTTCTCGAAATCCCATACATTTCCAAAAATTTGACGGAAAGTTTCCGAAAATTGCCGCTTGATTTTTGGACTAACGGAGCGGATTTTGAAAAAATCTATGGGAAATTGGGAAAAGTTCTAAGAAATGGGCTAAACTTCAAGGGACCATATCTCGACCATCCAGTGTCCAATTTTGATGATCTCGACATCTATCGATATCTACTCCTCGAGAGCTATCGATTGGTGTTAAAGGTATCGTATGCAAATGGCTATATGCAGAGATAACTTGCAAAAACACTTTTGCGTAATTTTTGAAAAACCTTCTTGGGCCTGTATCTCGGCCGTTCTTGATTTTGAGGCCCCAGGACCCTCCTCCCAAAACCGTTCAGGCCGAGAGCTACAAAATGACGTATCGCATGTGCAAAATGGAGCTATCTACGAATTTAGCCAGCCTCCCAAAATCTCGGCGACAGAACTTTCGTTCCAACCTGATAGAAGAGAATGTGCTTTTTCGAATGTGACTAAATAGGAAGAAAACTGAATTCAAAAACTAATTGCACCAAGGGTTTGAAGTTTCCGGTTTTGGACTAGAGTTTGGTTCAAATCGGGGTGTATTGGAGCGTCGCGCAGCCCCATTTTCCGTGCAAATTTCCCATTTTCGTTGCGGCCCAAACCATTGCTTGAGTTGCCGTGGAACGGAACATCCAGAGTCCGGCCCCGGTCGATTAGATGGTGTAATGGGGTTGTTGCGCGTAGGGCTATCGGCTTTATCAGGTCAGGGGACGCAAATGGGCGATCCATTTCGACGAATTGTCGTTTCTTTTACATAATGGTTTCACTAAACGGTTTTTATAACTTTGTGAAATGTTTCTTTGCTTTACGCAGTATTTTTCTTCCGCCTTTTCGTTGCCCTTTGTTTTCATTAGTCAAATTTTTAGGCCACGCTTCAACTTGTGCGATTTCTCCAAGTTGATGCCTTCAAACAACAGGCATAATATTATGCTGGCCAAATCGTCAGCCAGATAATGCAAAACAGATTGATTATATCTGTTTAACCAACACTCCTGAAAATATATTCCGGAAAGCATGAGTTCACTTGGCTCTTTTTAAAATGGTGAGTGATTTTAAGAGCGAAATACAGACTTTCGTTTACATTTCCGATTGCTCTGATTCCGAAATATATTTCTAGGAGCAATGGCACTAATAACCGTCAAAAAAAACTGCCAAACATCACCGCGGTAGAATGCTCAAGGAGGAGATTTTTGAAAAGTTAGATAGGTGAGATTAACGCTGCCAATCCACAAAAATTTCTCGAAGGGTTTGAACCAGCTGACACAATTTTGCGACAAAAATTAACCCGGCAATTTATCGTGCAATATTCTCGTCAATTCGCACTTTTTAGGTGTCCTTGAAAACCAAACATCACCGCGGACGAATGCTCATCAGGAAGGTAGCAATGTGGGTTTTAGATGTTAAAAAGCTGTTATAAAAACATGAACAACGCATAACCACTATTGTGAAAGATAATAAAGCTACCCCGAATCTGTTTTTATTTACCCTTTTCTAGAAGCTCAACGTTGACGCGTCTTTGTATTGCCAAACATAACAGAGGTCGGATGATCTGGAAAGGGAAAGAATGCAAATTTACTTTGGTGGGTTTCGAAAAACATTAATTCATCAGATGATTTTTAACAAGATACACTAAAGATTTGGTGCCGCAGCTTTCATTGACTCTTTTCAGGAAAATCGGAATCGGACCAGCAAGCTGTAATGCCAAGCACAATCGAGGACGAATGTTCAAAAACAGGATTTTAAAAAATCTTCGTAAGCGGAGACAACAGCGTAGTCTATTTGGATTTAGCGTTTTAGTAAGTTCGTTTTTCATGAAGCTAGAATGAACTTTTTTTAGAAAACAGCGGAATGGGAATAGGAGAAGCGGCAAAGCCAAACACCATGGAGGAAGAATGCTCAAAGCAAAAGTTAAAAAAATTAATTCTACATGGTGGGTCCATACGGGGTTTGCAGTAAGGGATGTTTTTCCTTTCTGAAGTACTTACCAGCAAGATGCTATTTCAGACATTTCAGACAATGCCAGCCTACCAGCAAACGATGCAGGCTTGCTACAATATGGCGGTGGTGTGAGCTTGGTTTCGTGCTTGGAGACGAAACCGTCGTCTATTTGCTTCAAGATTTCTTACTGCTGGAAATTGACAAAAATAAAGCGGTGATGATTGAACATGCTATTTACTAGATTTAGCGCTTAACCAGAAATTGTCACTTTATTAGAGTGTTCTAAAAATAAATCCTAGCTCAAAAATTATCGCATTTCAATTTTCATGATCTTTCAGAAACCGCGTCGAAATAGACGAATCGTATTTCTTCAAACCATCACAAAAACAATAATCGGAGAAAGAAAAATTAAGAGGTAAGTATGGATTCATATGGTATGAATTATTTGGAAATAGCTTCCGAGAAGGAAAAAGTGGGCGTTGCCTGATTTTCATAACGTGACAGTTTCAAAGTATCGAATCGCTTCAGAAGTTCCGTCGAGATCGATGAATCAATGTTCTTCGAGCCGGCATGAAATGCAAAACCAAGGGAAAATGGAAAAATTGAAGAACCTGCCTGGCGTTTTTGGAATGGTTAGCGATAACAGATCCGCGTAGAACCCATTTTCGTTTTAGATCGAGCGCAGTGCGAACGGGTTTTGAATTCATCCATAAATTGAATGTTGAGGAATTGAAACGTTTCACATATTACAAAGCCACTTTCCGGTAAGTGTTACGTTCTATTATTGTAAGGACTAGTAGAATAAAATTCTTGATTTGATATCGGTTTGAGTCAAACATCATTTTGCCGAAATTTTATTTTAGCGAAATAGCATTTTGTCGAAATTTCTATTGTCGAAATTTGATTTTGGCGAAAAATAATTTTGTTGAAATTTCATTTTGCGCTGAGTTTCTATCTGCGAAATGGTAGAAATGAATAATCAATGGAAAATGCATTAAATTTCGACAAAATGATATGTCGACAAAATCAAGTTTCGAAAAAGAAAATAGCTAAATTTTACCTAGCACCGTGATTACTTTTTATTCGGGTCAAATACCGATTAATTACCCCAAATAAAATTAAAAATAACCAAAAAAGTCAATACTGCCTTAATGCTATGGCCACCCTGCGAAATTAACGCTTTAGCGACCTCCTTGAGAAAGACTGCCCACCATATGACGATTGGACCACCATCGGGATTCGATTTTGGCCGAAGGGATAGGTTTTTATTAGTGGGGCGAATTGAAAATTTGTAGGTGATAGAAACATAGCAGTATGGCAGCTTAACGTGAAATCGGCTTCACATCATTAATTGAGCGGCAAATGCGGAAATTTATTGTAAGCTACTCGGAAATTATTTTTACGTCAAAATTATTCTAGCCAACTAACAAGGTTTTTAATAGGAGTTCGCATTAAAACAACGAAAATTATTTTGTCGAAATCTGACTTTGTAGTTAAGTCGAAATTTAACTATGCTCAAAAACCATCCTGACCACATTAGTCTAACCTGTTTAGTGACCAAAAAAATTGTTGTCGAAATTTCGAGACAATGAAATATGGAAAAAATGAAATTTCGAAAACGCAGAATAAAAATAAGTTTGAGTAAGCTAGAGATTTTAAGCTGCCCTGCGCTAAAAAAAATTGGAATTAAGCTAAATATATAATTAATCACAACTCATTTATTTGTTTCAGAAAATTGCGTCGAAATAGACGAAAGTCAGTTCTTCTATCAGCAACGCGAAAAATACTGATCTTTATTGTATTGAAAACGAGGCCCTACTGGGTCTTCGGAATGGTCAGTATTTTACGTTTCAGATAATTTTTTTTAGATAGAGAGCAGTATGCCAATCTCTATCATTGCTGAAAAGATGAGTACAAGGTTGGTTTGGGATTTATGCCAATTTGGTTGGCTGCTACGATTGCTATTCTTTTAAGCACTGTCAATCATCTCGGACGGCTGGGCTGCGTACGGTAAAGTTGATGATGTCCATGCGGACGATGGGGGAAATTATGCTCCATTTAAAATATCAGGTATCTGGAAAATCACATACATTGCCAAGTTATTATAGTAAATTTCTTAAAGACTGAATAAAATATAATTTTCAACATTTCGTTTTATGACAGACTTTCAAAACTTTTCGGAGCTAGTTAAGTTTGATGGCCCCAAGGGCGTCAAAAAATTTTTACCGATCGGGCATCCCCGATCGGCGTAAAAAAACGACTATCCTGGGGTAGTTTGATGCGCTGAGTTCGAATTTGTCACTCTTAGACTACAAAAATTTAATTTTAGACTACAAACTACAAAAAGTCGAAAGTCTCCAAAACACGCCAAAAACACCTCTCCGGGGTGGTTTTTCGCGCTGAATCCGAATATAGCAATTCCGCAACGCGCAAACCCCTATATTTGATCATTTCATGACTTGTAAGCCACATTTGGGACAAGTCCGAGTGCTGTGAAGCGGTCCCAGGCTTACAACCAGTCATAATAACGGCAGCGAAAGTAGTCAACGGGTACCGCCTAGCAAGGTCCAATACAGCGAAGCCCCGTGGCTGGTCCAAACTAGCATTCATGCTTGAGCATAAAAGTGAAATTCATTTCAGAAAACGGCTTTTATAGCGAGCTGCAATAACATTATACCCGCGGGACCCGATGGCATAATCACGTTAACCGTGGTAGGCTTGCGGATCCACAGCATTTAAATTTATTGTTGTTAAGTTTTAGATGTTCTGCGTTGTAGTGTATAGTATATACGGGTTTACGCGTTGCGGAATTGCCATATTCGGATTCAGCGCGAAAAACCGCCCCGGAGAGGTGTTTTTGGCGTGTTTTGGAGACTTTCGACTTTTTGTAGTTTGTAGTCTAAAATTAAATTTTTGTAGTTTAAGAGTGACAAATTCGAACTCAGCGCATCAAACTACCCCAGGATAGTCGTTTTTACGCCGATCGGGGATGCCCGATCGGTAAAAATTTTTTGACGCCCTTGGGGCCATCAAACTTAACTAGCTCCAGCTTTTCATGCTATTTGTGATACAGGGCCTTTAATAAGCAAGTTTAATTAATTCCGACCTTAATTTGACTGGGTTAAGTGACGTTAAAAGTTTATTGTTTATTCTGGATTTTCAGATAGTTAAGATCCGTTAGCTAAAAATTTGAATCGTGGATTGAATTCATACTCAAACACAACTTACTTTAACGTTTCAGAAACTGCGTCGAAATAGACGAAAGATACTTCTTCTACAAAGCAAAGAAAAGAATATGCGATTTATTTGAATGGAAAACAAAAGGCGCTACTGGGTATTTGGCATGGTCTGTGTTTGGCGCCCACAATCAATGTATTACATTCTTCTAGATTGAGAGCAACATGCCGATTTTCATAATGGCTGATGAAAAAAATTGTGGATTTTGAGGTGAGCGTGCGATATGAACCAAATTTGGTTTTTGTTTTACACGAATACTATTTTTGCAGGTTTATGCTAGTCATATCTGACGGATGGGTTGCGTACGTTAAAATTAATGATTTCAATGCAGTCGATGGGGAAAATATGAAGCATCTAAAATGTAAGCTATCTGGTAACTCACTGACATTGCTAAATTATCCTAGTGCATTTTGAAAAGAACTGCTTAAAGGGCACGTTCAGGGACGATTTTTTGGAAAAAAGCAAAGAGTTTTGCCGCGGCCGCGGTGCCGTGGTCGAACCCGGGCCCTCCGCTCGGGAGGCGCGGATGGATACCAGTCAGCCACAACTACAACCTGGTGAGGGGGTGAGGGGCGCCCCACGCCGCAAAGGAGGGAAATTGCCTGCCACGCCACGGGCAGGCAGTGCGCGCGGTTGCTACGCCCATAGGGTGTACACGTTGGGACGAGTACACGGCCCCTCCCTGAACGTGCGCTTTAAACTATAATATTTATGGTTCCGTTATATGAAGGGCTTTCAAAACTTTTCTCGCCATTTTTGAAATAGTGCCTTTTAACGAGAAAGCTAAAAATAATTCAGATCATAATTAGACTAGACTCAGTGATGCTAAAAATAATTGATTTTTTTATTTTTTAATAAGTTCTCGGTCCTCACATAGCTAAATAACCGTTAGCTAGACCGCAACCATAGCTTAATTCCGCGATCCGACATCACTTAATTAATCGTTTCAGAAACTGCGTCCAAATAGACGAAAGTCACTTGTTCTCTTACGAATTCGAAAAATGGCGGACTTTATGGAATGGAAAACAAAAGGCGCTACTGGGTATTTGGCATGGTCTGTGTTTGGCACCTACAATCAATGTATTGCTTTCTTCTAGATAGAGAGCAACATGCTGATTTTTATAATGCCTGATGAAAAAAATTGTGGATTTTGAGGTGAGTCTGCGATTTCAACAAAATTTGGTGTATCAAACGAATACTGCTTTTGTAGGTTTATGCTAATCATATCAGATGGATGGAGTGCCTACGGTAAAATTAATGATGTCAATGCAGCCGATGGGAAAATTATGACGCATCTAAGATGTAAGTTGTTTGGAGAATCTAATTGCTAAAATATACTGAAACGTTAAACTAAAATTTATTTATATTTAACTTTGTTTAAATAAATTCGTTTATGAGGTTTTCATGACTTAAAATTTTGCCGCCACCTTTTGCCTTGCCAGCCGAACGGAAAAAACCTAAGGAAAGATAACTGAAATGACGCGGCTAAATAACGACGAAAACTTGTATTTTTACTATAAACGATTTTTTCAGATACTTTTGAAGACATGCATTCATACCCAACGGATTGAGGCCTGGGACGTGCTTAAAAACCTCGATCCAACAACCATCTGAACCACCGACGAATTAAATGATTGGATTTGAGCTCGTGAAGGCTTCACATTGATGCTGTCACAAAGCCAGGAACTGAAAAATACTTGTCGAAAACGTTGGCGCGTTTTGCAATCTGAACAACCACAAAATCTTGAACAACAATAAATGTTTGCTATTGTAAGAAGCGCACTTATTATTTCTTTATAAGCCTGCATAGCCTGCAAAATTTTACAAATGTTTATCCGCATGCACTTCGCGATTTACTTTCCGCTTGTCTCATAAGGCTTCATACACACAATCGCGAATGACAAAAACTCGAACATCAATTTATCGAAGGAACATACAATACATACTTCCAAACAATAGCGTAATTTCACTAGCTTTTTCCATCAGGGTTTCCAGCGCTGATGAAAGTATCCCGCCGCGGTCCAATCATCCTTGCTGAAAAAATAGGAATTGTGTTTTGCGATTAAAGGGGCCAGAACAGCCCATGTCGATGGGCAGCCTGCGAACTTCTGCTCTTCCAATGAATAAGTTGCATGAATGATGCACAGGCCCGTAGGAGGGAGGGGGCCCAGGGGGCCCTGGCCCCGAAATCGGTCGAGGTCCGAAAAATTCATAAGGGGGGACCCTTATGATTTTTAGTTACAAAAATTTTTCTGCCTGCGGCGCTGTTTATTACTGTTTTTCTAACAGTTTTTGCTTCTTTGAAGCCTATTTTTTCAAAATTTTTTGCCTGCG